TAACCCATGAAGTCCAATTTGTGTTGCTTAAATACTCAGATTAGAATGTGGCTATCCATTGGAGTGTGGTCAACCTACTGGGGCCATGCTCTTAAAGAAAACTAATTCTTGGTGGTGCATGCCTTTAATCCCAGCACTTGGGAGGCATAACAGGATCTCTGTGAGTTCCAGGCTGGCCTGGCCTACAAAGTGAGTACCAGGCCAGCCAGGGCTGTATAGTGAGACCCTGTCTCAAAAAAAAGAAAACTCTCTCTAACAGCTATCAGTTGCCAGCAGCTTCTCAGCTAGGGGGGACTTCATGCATACCCTCCTCCCTCCATGCTGGGCTTTGGCTTGAGCTTGACAGGTCTTGTGCATACTGTCATAATCCCTGTGAGCTGAAATGTGCAACTGCCTTGTTGGGTCTGGAAAACATTGTTTTATTATGGTCCTCTACTGCCTCTGGCTCTTAGAATCTTTATGTCCTTTCCCATGATGATCCATGAGCCTTGGGAGGAGGGGGTGTGCTGTAGGTGTCCCATTTAAGGGCTGGCTGAGCACTCTGAAGTCTCTTATTCTTTTTACCTTGACCAGTGTGGGTCCCTGTGTTACTCTCCATCTGCTGCAACAAAAAGTTTCTCTGATGAAGTTTGAGAGATGCAATAATCTGTGGAATAATGATAAGTCATTAGGAGTTGATTTAATGCCTTGTTCATTTAGCAGAATAATAATTCTCTCCTAAGGCCTGTGACCTATCTAGGCACAGGTTCTTGGTCTGCATAATAGTGTTAGGTGTGGGTTTCATCTTGTGGAGTTGGCTTTAAATCCAATCAGTACGTGGTTAGTAGGGCTAGAGAGATGGCTTAGTGGTTAAGAGCACCAGGTTCAAATCCCAGCACCCACATGATGGCTAACAACCATCCATAACTCCAGTTCCAGGGAATCCAGTGCCCTCTCCTGTTTTCCGAAGGCACTGCACATCATGGATACACTAAAATACATGCAGGCCTAACACTCATATACATAAAATCAAAACAAAGGGAGGGAGGATGGGAGGGAGGAGAAGGAAGGGAAGAGGAAAGGGGAGGGGTTGGTTACTTCCATAACCTTTCTGTCAATATCGCATCAGTGGACAGAGTCTGCCAGGCTGGTCATTATTGTAGCTTACAATACAAGGTTCACAGCTTCATAAGACTGATTTTTGCTCTTGTGCTTTAGTAGTGTGATAGCACCATCCAGCTAGCAGCAGGGATAAAGCTTTCAGGTCTTGATTGAGTTCAGCCAGCTCGATTTCTCCATGTTCTGTGACCCAGGTATGTGGTGGCTTCAGCAGTGGGGTCTTACCATTAAGTTCTGAAGGATAAGCAAGAGCAGTGTCAATAGCTTATAATTTCCAGGGGTCTTTGAACCTCACTGGCCAAAAACTCCAAAAACGTAACCTGTTTTTGGCACTGGGCTTTTGTTTGTTAGTCTATGGTGTCTCGTAGGGGCATTGTCCTCATTGTAGTATAGCTCAGCTTAACTCCTTTTATATATTATGTATTTTAGGAAGCTTCTACACTAGGTTTCCATAGGACTTTTTCAACAGGACTTCAGTGTTAATTATCCTTCTCTGAATCAGTCTTCTACCCTGCTGTCTCATTATCCCCCCCACCCCCCCATGTAACCTTTCCTGTATTTTGAGACAGGATATCTCACTGGGCTGGAACTTGCTAAGCAGGTTAGGTTGAGTGACTGTTGTCTCTACCTCCTCAGCACTGAGATTACAGATGTGCACTGCCACATCTGGCTTTTTGCATGAGCTCTGGTGTGGCAAGCATGTCACTAACTGACCTATCTCCACAGCTCTGCATTGAGTATCTTGATTCTGTAATCAAGAACAAAGCCTGGCAATCTGTGTGTGTGTGTGTGTGTGTGTGTGTGTGTGTGT